ATCGTCGTAAGGCCCAAGGCATCGTGGGCAACAAAAGGGGGAGGATGCCGGACTCGACAATGAGCCGAGCTCGGCTCAGCGGCTCGGCGGCTCGGCTCGGTTTGGCCGGCCATCTCGTCGATTCTTTTCTGTTCCCTTGATTGGTTTGTTTGTGGTTTTCCTTTGTATAACAATTTTACTTTTAGTTCAAATTAATAATGGAATATGAGAATGTTAATATTAAAAAGTTTGGACATTTTATTCTAAAATTTATGAGCTTACTTTTGTTATAATTAATAACGAAATTTCAATAGATTTATGATCTTCCACTCCTACGATAATATAAGGAATTATATCTTTTTTTTTTCTTCACGAAACTTGTGTATCTTCCATTCTTAGTGTATTTTTCTTATTTTCTTAATTTTATTTTTCTAAAGTTTCTAGATTTAGTGGGATAGAATATAATAGTTTAGCACACTAATTTTTTCCATATGAATGGTAAGGTACTAGCTTTTCTTTTTCTTTTTTTCATACCAGAGTCACTTCAATTAAATAATAATAGGGGAAAACTACTAAATTGACTAAGTCTCTCATCTTCAAGCATGATAGAAAACCAAAGGTGAAAGAGTATGAAGTACAACAATTAATACAAAGACAAAACATTAGCAGCATTATTTTTGTAACGAAATCGACTATCCTATTATTTTGTCAATCAATGTGGTTAAAAGAGATGAGGTTGAAACGATAAGCTAGACGATGTATATCTAATACCCAATTGATATCTTTAGTAAGTATTGTTTACCAATTATATAGTATTGTATTAAAATGGAAGATGAATATGCAATAAAACAATCTCAAACATAGGTACCAAGTTTACCGATTATAAAGTTCTTTGATAATTGAAAAAACTAATTTTATAATTATTTTTGTTCTAAAATTTAATAGAATTCTTTAATATAGCTATATTTTAGAATAAAAATATAATGCTATTACTTTCCAAACTTCTACCTATCACGTGCATGGCACGTGCTACAAACTAGTTACTGCAAAACAAGTTGTTATGTAAATCCTCATTTCAAAAAGACTATTATGATAATGATCCTCAATTTAGCCTAGAATTCCACCAAAATAAACTCTCTTGAAGAGAGCAACCAACAATCAAACTCGTCTTGGAGAACTCTATAAAAATAAACCACTCTTCAATATCTACAACATTCAATGGATTTGTCGTTTCTCTATGTAAGTGCTTGCCTATCCATGCAGGCGGCTAAGGTTCTCCCCTCCTTTTATTTTTCTAAATATCGTTCCTCTAATTTCCTCTCTCAAATCCACATTCTTCATGCTTCATTTACAAATTTCCAGATTTCGTATTGCAATGCTGCAACATCCCTTCAATTATCTAGCATTTCTCATCGCATCTCGACCACACGTAGTATTCAGAGAAAGAAACACATCTCTATAAATTTATAGACAACTTATAATTTCTTGGAATGAGAGGTACTAAATTTTTTTTTATATTTTTGGGGTATAGGATACGAAAAGTTTTGCGGAAGAAAAAGGATTTTGGGGAGAAATGAGGATGATTCTAATCTGAAAGCCGAATAAAGGAATAACAATTATTCGTATCGTATCATACATTCATAATTGATTCCTTCATAATTCTAATTCTAATTCTAATTCTAATGTAGTATAAGAAAGCGTAACATCGCCAATTCCAATTCCAATTCCAATTCCAATTCTTCTTCGCTTTCGGCTTTCTCTATTTGTCGCCAATTTCTGACCCCACCGGCACCACTATATATGGCGAACCCATTCTGCTTTTTGGATCTAATCCCTACTACCCATTTTTAGCTCTACCTTATGAGCCTCTGAAACCTTTCTTCTTATTTTGCTGTTCTTCATTTCTCTCTCTTTTTCTGTTTTCCTTTTCTTTTTCGCTTTGCTCCTTGATTCTGTGCAGAGATGGACAAGTACGAGGTGGTCAAGGATTTGGGTGCTGGCAATTTCGGAGTTGCCAGACTTCTCCGCCATAAGGACACCAAAGAGCTTGTCGCCATGAAGTACATAGAGCGTGGCCAAAAGGTTTCTTCTGTTCTTGATTCAATTCCTTCGTTTTACCTTTGAGAAGAATTCCAACATGGGTTCCGGATTTTGGGTCATGAATCTTCTGTTTGGAATATGGGTGCCTTGAATTGGGGGATTTTTGCGCTTTATGGCTATCTTTTTTTGTTGTTGTATTGACAGATAGATGAAAATGTGGCAAGAGAGATTATAAACCACCGATCGCTTCGGCATCCAAATATAATTCGTTTCAAGGAGGCAAGTTTGTTTTTACTTTGAGATTTCTTTCATCTAACATCATATAATAGCCAAAGTGGTGGGAATACTTGTTCAGCAAAATGGGTTTAGCTTTGTTGTTTCACATGCCACATATTATATTCCCATAACTGAGAAATCGATCAAGCTGGTTACCGTTAAGCGCATCTAGTTTTAGGTAAAGAATCGGAGAAAACTGAAAGTAGAATTAAAGTTGGGTTAAGATTTGCAGGTTGTTTTGACTCCAACGCATTTGGCTATAGTGATGGAATATGCTGCTGGGGGAGAGCTCTTTGAAAGAATTTGCAATGCTGGCCGTTTCAGTGAAGATGAGGTCTACCTCATCCACTCTCTCACTCATGGTTATATTCAATTTAGGAATGTAGTAATGAGATTTTGGTTGTAATTGTTTTAAATCTTCATTTTACAGGCTAGATATTTCTTCCAGCAGCTAATTTCTGGTGTCAACTATTGCCATTCAATGGTAAAATCAAATGCAGATTGTGATTGCCTCTTCTGTAGTTTCCTGTTCAAAAATAGAGTACACTGTCTAATTTATCTCACTTTGCAGCAAATATGTCATAGAGATCTAAAGCTAGAAAATACACTTTTAGATGGAAGCACAGCACCACGCTTGAAGATATGTGACTTCGGTTACTCTAAGGTTTGTGAAAATGCAAAGCTATTTGATTGTTTTATAGTGGCATCATTTGCCCCTGTTTGGTGTAACTATTCTGACAATATTGTGAAATATTTTTAGTCGTCCCTGCTTCATTCAAGACCAAAATCAACTGTTGGTACTCCGGCATATATAGCACCAGAAGTTCTTTCTCGAAGAGAGTATGATGGCAAGGTGCTTATTCAAGTCTAGTTCAGTGCGTTGATGACATTATAATAATCTGGTGCAAACTCAGTTATGTTCAACATCCAATAGTCCACAACAATATAATTATGCGGTAGAAAATATAATATAATTTCATATAATGTAATTTCATTTCTATTTCAATATCTACTGAATGTATGTCAAAATTCTTTTCACATTTTAAATTTGCAGAATACACTTGAAGATCTCTTGCATTTACAACCCAGAAATAGTGGATTACACACTATTTAGGCCTTATGCACGTTAGGAACACACATGGTTTCACATCCGTTTTTCTTGAGCAATGACTTCCATAGATAATAAATTAGTTAATACAATTTACAGTTTTATTCTTCTAATAAATGGTAAGATACTTATTGGTAGGAGTATAATGAACGAATTTCCTTTCTTCTCAAATGCAGCATCTATTTATTTATTATTATTATTTTTATTGAATTCCTTCATCCTCTTGTTAGATGGCAGATGTGTGGTCATGTGGAGTAACTCTGTATGTCATGCTAGTTGGTGCATATCCTTTTGAGGATCAGGAGGATCCTAAAAATTTTAGGAAAACAATTCAGGTATATTACCTCCATATTATGCCATATTTCAAAAAAAAGTAATTTATCTTCCTTAATATTTAATTTTATTATTTGGCAGCGTATTATGGCTGTTCAGTATAAGATCCCGGACTATGTTCACATATCTCAAGATTGTCGACACCTCCTTTCTCGCATTTTTGTCCCTAATCCATCCAGGGTAATTTTCTTTGACAAGTTTATTTGTTGTTTGTTTGGTATTTTTTTTCCCTTTTTATAAAAATGCTAATTTGTTGTTTGTTTGTTATTTTTATTCCCTCTTTTCTTTGTGTAACCTGGATACTATTTTTGGATATTTGAGTTAGAAATCCTCTGTAATGGGAAGCTAAGAAGCATCTAGATTGTGCAACATCTATGATATTTGTATTTTCAAGATATTGATGCTGAAGATGGTATGTAAGAGTTTATACAGTAGAGAATAATATGTTATGATCCTTCAGGCAGTACAGAATAATATGTTTATCAAATGGAATTTAAAAGTCTATATAGAAATTGGTGGATGCAATGCCAAATATATGTTTGTGGACATACAATTACACTCTGTAGGTTTGTTTCTTAACTTCTTTGTGGTGAAGTGATATTGTTTCAATTGAGACATGGACATATGAAATGTCGACATTATCCACTAATTTGTAACAACTTAAAAGTTCCATGCTTCTTCACTATTATCTTTCGTTTGTGTAACTAGTGTGTAAAATTCTGCATTCTGCCCTATTTTCGTGAAATTTGTGAGACTGATTCATGTAATAATTGAAATTATAGTATGGGTATATTAATACGAATTGCAATATATGAAGTGCAGATTCCTTAGTTTAGATAAAATGTTTGTTCCTGACATGTGTCAGACACTCTTAACATTCTGATAATTATTGGATGCTTGAACTAGAGTGTTAAATCTTGTATTTATATATCTATTTTTGTTGGAAAACAATCAATGGACCAAAAATTAAATATAAGCAAAACATAATAAATATTAAGAGGGAAAAACATCGCGCTTAACATTTTCTATTTCATTTGTCTTGGATGTATACAAAATATCATTTCTCCTTGATGAACTCTCTCTCTCTCTTGTCACTCTGTTGCGGTGTGCTGGCACCATGTTGTAGCTTTCTTCTCCTATTCTTGTGATTGGAACAATGAAGAGGTTCATAGCTCAAAAGTGAAGGGTAGAAAGAAAAATCTATACCATCATTCAGATGGAAGGGAGAATAGTAGAAAGATTTTACTCGCAGGAAGAAGTTCTTTCAACTTATTTGTAATGTCTTTGGAACATCAGCGGTGAACAGATCCTCTAGAAGATTTGATAATCACTTCTCGGGTTCTCAAATCCTCTAGAAGACTTGATAATCACTCAGATTCTCAAGATCTCCAAGAAGTTAAGATACGAAAATGGGTTTTGTTGGATTCAAAAGATAACCAACAAAATACTATTCCTTCCTGATTTTTCAAAGTTCTAACATCACGGGACACCCTTGACCCTACAACATTTGGTTGCCAAGGAAACTCCTAGGATTTTAAATCCTAGGAAGGTTATGTTTGAACTCATTCCCTCTAAGCTTGTTTACTTTTAGGTGGTTTTAATTTTTCAAAGTTCTTAACAAAGGAATGTAAACCGACTCAATATGACTAGCAGAAGGGGGCCTTAAAAGGATGGAGAGAGATGGTGGAGACAATAAGAAGATTCTCCACCGCAAGTCTTTGTTCGAAGATGGTTGTGAAAAGAAATTAAAATTTTGTGCTGTCCTATGTTGAAGTGACCAAGAGGCCAGGTGGCGAGCAAGGAAGATACAGAGGTTAGAAGTGTAGCAGTAGCTGAAAATAACATGTTGGAATCAGATATGCATAAAATAAATTGGGGTAAGGAGATTGTGGTTGCAAGGAGATTTCCGTGATTCGTGGGGAAAAGTTATTTATATCTCACAGAAAGCTACCAAAGTAACTCATAATTAATCCAATTCAACCACATAAAGCCCTTCTTAAACGCCTAAATAAAGACCCCTATTTACTCATTAGTGAAGGTTGGCTCATCCTTGGCAAACTAAATTCTAAATTCGAAACCTGGTTGGAGGAGAAATACAGTAGAATTAGTCTGGTCTAGTTTGGTGGGGGAAACATGTTGGATATAGAACTTTTTAAGATTATTAGAGATTGTTGCAAGGGCTACATTGAATGTTCAACTAAAACTTTGTGCATTGTGGAAGGTATGGAGGTTTGTATCAGATTTCTAAATAGCTATTTTGGCTTTGTTCCTTTTCAATTAAGAGGTACAAAAAAACTGATGGAAGTTCATTACTTGCCCAAACGGTCAACTTCCATGGTTAGAATTTGCTTGCAAGAAGACTGGTCATCATCCTTGATGGTTTTTTCATAGAAGTTGAAGCTGGATTTTTTGGAGGGAAAGGAGCAGTGACCTTTATCTTGCAGATATAGGAGATCACTGGATACATCATAAAAGCTGTAGCTGGATTTTTTGAAGGAGGGAAAGGAGTGGTGACCTTTATCTAGCAGATATTAGGAGATCAGAGGATATGGGTCAATCCCCCTGTATCTTCCCATCAGATATAAAGTGCTCAAATAGATTTCATTTCAATTGCATCCTAAGAAGTTTTGACTCTTGGATGAGCTTCTTTTGGAAAAAAACAGAGTTGTGGTCGATTCTTTATGCAGCTGGCACAAGTATCCCTTGCTGGAGGAGATTTTCTGTGCGATTGACCTCAACCTAAGAAGCACGGACACGGATACGGGACACGGACACGGACACGATAGGACACGACGGTACGTCAATTCCTAAAAAATTAGGACACGGACACGTTGGGATACGTTTTTTTTT